ATTTTGTTTCGGGTGTGAGACCGCTATCTACCTCAAGCAATGGATGAACGTTGTGCAATATCGTGAATTGGTAAAGGTCAGATGCTAACACCGTCGGGTACCTGCTCATTGATCTAGGGATTACGCGTGTGAGTGTGAGATTGAAGGTCCTAGGTTTAGTTCCTGCTTGTACGTTTGGGGACTCGCTCTACTGAAGAGTCTAATACTAGGAAGAAACTTACATCTATTGGTTCTAGGTTTTTAATTGGGGTTTAGTTGAAATCAGCTTTTGATTCATGAGCAATGCTTAATCGTTAATACTCACTGATTCTTCATAGCTTTCTTAATCGAAATTTATCCGTTTAAAGCTGTAATTAATCATTATCAACACGTTTCACTTTAATTAATGATGACTGAGTTTTTCTCTCACTCTTTCATATTATTTTATCAGGAATATGATTTGTATTACATTTACAAATATACAAATTAACAATTATTTCATAATATCTATAATTTAGTTAGCATTGTATTTCTCTCATTCATACAAGTGAATAATATCAAAAAAGTTTCAGATTTTACAATAGATATGTTACTTAAACATGATAATGTAATCAGATTCTTTATGTTTTCAATAATAATAATGAAAGTAATCATATCTGATTGTTAAAAAATGACCACATAAAAACCATATATTTTATATACTATGTATGCCATGCTTTTTTTACTGGTCAATACTTTATTCAACCAATTGGTGTGAATAAATTCATTAATTTTTTAATTAAATTAATAAATAATATGATTGATTATTATTTTCATACATGAAACTGATGATATAATTTGAGGGAAATTAGGGAAAAAAAGAATTATAGTATAGCATGACAGTGTTTTAACGTTTTCTTATTTATCTTGTATTATCTATATTGAAGTAATTATGATGTTCATTAGTTGTTTTGTAAAATATACTATTCTGCATTCCTTAATTTTTTTTTTAATAGGTGTACACATGAAATATTGTTTTTAGTAAATATAATATTGATTTAAAAAAGATAATGAAATGAAGGTTTTGTCTAAACTAGTTAAGTGTTATTTAACTTGTCTGCATAAATTCTCTTCTTGATTTATACTGTATTTATATTCAGTTGATGAGATGATTCTTGTTTTAAAATGAATAATTTTATACTCATAATGTAATACTTAAATTCATACAAGTAGAATTCTGAAAAAACTATATGAGTAGTTGGAACGATCTAGTAAACTTTTTAACTGTATATCTTCTGACTGAAAGAAATTGCTTATGAGTTAAACCATGAGTTATAATTAGAGAGTACTTAGATGTTAATTTACACTATCCTAACAATTATAACGTGAATGATATGAATGACTGGGGAATAAATCACACTGCACTATGTATCAGTTTCTGTATGTTCATCTTGGACCATGAATTTTTTTGAAATATTCAGTTTTTCCATTCATATTGTGAAAATAGTTATGGATTACTCCATAATATCTGATAGTTTTCCAAATAGATCACCTTGTAATTATCATTATTCTGTTAAGTGTTTCTCATATATGGATATATATATGTAAATTGTTTTTCACTTAATTGTTTTTTAATAACAACTACAATGCAAATAAGCTACAAACTACATGTAATTTTTCGTCACATTGTAATTATAATCCAATTAGTAGTAAATGGATTGAACGAATAACTATTGATGCTACAAGTAAATGATTCTTCTTGTAATAAGTATATTTATAATTATCGATAATAATCATGTTAATATCATTAGTAAATCTATTACTGTTAGTTTGATTATTACCTCATATGGTGGTAAGAAAATAGATATTATTATTTGCTTTATCATTCCTGTTTGTTTTTGTGCAATTATTCTGTAGGCATAATATTAATTGCTTATTATTTTAACTTATAAAGCTGTATGAACTGCTAACCTTGGGTAACATGGTCGTTGATACTTCACGATTTTTCTGTACACCACAAATTTAACTTATTAGAGATAAATAGTGGGCAAGGAAATAACCTATTTAAGTAAAATGCCTTATTTACTGTTTGATATGAAGTATTATTCTGCTATTATATTCGTAACTTAAAAATAAATGTATAAATAAGACAGGTTTAATTCAAATAAAACAAATTACTATAAATTTTCAACATATAGACTGTAACTGAGTATGAACAGATTTCTGCAAGATTTAAAGGTATCAGAATGCACACTGTAATCGTCATAATAAACTGTTACAAGTACTTATTGTGGTAGTAATGGACTTAATGTGATGACATAACTAGAAATTGATCACAATATTACTAGACTCCATCGTCCTTAACTTTGTAATATGCTGTCGTGTTTATTTTAGATAACTTTTCTGCTCAATTTAATAATTTCTACTTACATATTATTTGCTGTTTATAAATACTATAATTTTAATTAATTAACTGTTATAAAACGTGTCGTCTTGCCATTTTTTTGGCTAAAAAGTGGACAAAAAATTTACATACATAGTTTCAGTTTTCACCTCGCCCGTCGTGTCACCTTATGGTTCGATTTTAAAAGTGACCTATAAACTATTTTATATTTGTGTACTTGAAAAACAAATTTGTTACACTTTTAAAGTGAATGAATAAAGAGAATAAATATAATACAAGTGAAAAAAAAGGTTGAAAGAAAAGATATAGCCAAGCAGCAACAAAAAAAAACTACTAATGAACGTTTCATAGAAAGTTTTAATGATTACTAACTGGTACATTTAAAAAATAGATAATCTGAGTAGTTATAATTATTATTCATAGAAATTCTAGTTGTGAATTAGATGTTTGAAGAATGAAACTTTGAACTGTTAAATTAACCAAAAACATTGTAAATTTTAATATTTCTGGATAAAATATTCAATATTAAGAAATAATATGGAAATACTGAAATATGCCAAGATGTGAGTGAAGTGTATTAAGACTATAATTAGGTGCATCATTTGTTAGTCATCACTATTCAAATTAATCGTTATGTAGAAATCCAGTGATTATCTTTATTTCTTCCATCCTTAGTCACTTTTAAAGTTGTTCTTTTTTACGTTTATAAGTTTAGTGTGAAAGGAAGATAATTCACTTCATGAGAGTAATCCAAAGTAATCACAATTCAAAGTAAACATTAGGATAGTGTCTTAAAAATTTCTAGATATAAATTTATTATTTAACAGTTATCATGTATACTCTGACGCGATCATCTCAATATTTCCTTGTGATGAATTTTACACGCTTCATTTATTTTAAAATAACATTCTATCTACCTAACTTATTAAAATTTATGATTGAGATTATGAATCGATTGATGTTAGACCACCGTTGAAAACCTGAAAGCACTGGATGGCCGTTTCGTCCTATTGCTCGACCCCTCAGCAGTGTGCACCCACGCCCTCGCTTGCGGGATTCGAACCCAAGGCCCTCAGTCTCGCGCACGAACGCTTAACGTACTGGACGACTGAGCCAGCATCCAATGGTATTAGTGTCTTACATCAACCAATCCATGAAATTGCGCGAACATCTTCCATTGTACTGAGGTAGATACCTGTCTCTACCCAATACGGATTAGCTCCAATGGTCACAGCTTCTCACTAGAACTCCGAGAATTGTTTTACGAAGCTAGTCACTAGTGAGCATATGTTAATTATCAGTATAGGGTTTGTGGAGATTATTAAGTTTTTGATTGAGATCATGAACCGATTGATGCTAGAACAACAGAACTTAACTACAAAATACATGTGATACATATAATTGAAAATTATATAAGGTAGACGTTTCAGTATAATTACTTTTGATCGTGTGAACTATTCTGATTGACGTTTTTTTAGCGAGGTGTTTTTCTACGGGATGAGGTCGCTAACTGCATTCATAACCCTCCTCCTTTATCCGGGTTTGGGACCGTCACTAACCCCAAAGGGGCTCCAGTGTAGCAGCAGCCTCAGCAGAAGTAGGTCTCAACATACACAAAGGGATAAGTAAGATTGTCCGATACAAAACAGCATGCACTAATCGAATCACACTTGACGGAGACGCTTTGGAGGATGTAAAAAGAATTCAATACCATAACACAATAGCCATTAATTTTTTCCCTAGTTTTCAATGACTATCCAACTATATTCAAACTATGATGTAAACTAGAAACTAATCAGATAAAATAGACTAAACTAGAAGTTTACATATCTGAGCAGCATCATTGATGAACACGATGGATCTGATGCAGATGTGAAGGCGCTTATCGGTAAAGCAAGAACAGCATATCTACAACTGAAGAACATATGGGACTCAAAACAACTGTCAACCAACATCAAAATCAGAATTTTCAATACGAACGTCAGGACATTCGTACTATACGGAGCTGAAACTTGTAGAACTACAACAACCATCATCAAGAAGGTAAAAGTATTTATAAATAGCTGTCTACGCAAGATACTCAACATCAGTTGGCCAGATACCATAATCAACAGCCTTCTGTGGGAGAAAACAAACCAGCTTCCAACTGAAGAGGAAATTAGGATAGGTTGATGGAAATGGATAGGACATACATTACTCAAATCATCAAACTGCATCACGAGTCAAGCCCTAACTTGTAATCCTGAAGGGAAATGAGAAAGAGGAAGGCCAAAGAACACACTACGTCAGGAACTGGAAGCAGATGTGAAAAGGATGAATAACAACTGGAAAGAACTGGAAAGGTTTGTCAGTGTCAGAGTTCAATAGAGGATTCTGGTGAGCGACCTATGCTCCCCATGAGGGGTAACATGTGTTAGTTAATAAGTATGAATATTATTCATTAACCAGGTTTCTCTCATAATTCTAACAAAAATGGTGTATAGACAAAATATGTAATCCTAAGTAGCTTTGTTCGAAATTCTCTTTAAATTTATGTTTAGTGAAATTTTTCTCCATGTTTTTATGTATAATACAATACGTTTTACAAAGTGGTAACTTTTCGCATTATTTTTTCTTTTTATTTTTACTATCTACTTAGTGATGAAGGATTAAGAAAAAAATTTTTTACAGCTCTCGAAGATTTACGAATACATGGACCGCCTGGTATATCACGGAATCCAGGACCAAGCCATATAAGCTGTCAATGGATTTGTGATATTTGGTTAAAACATCATTTAGGTCTTGTACAACTAATTCCTATATTTTCAATAAGACGTGTGGATGGTCGAATGTTGTCTAGTTTAATTACCTACAAACGTCCAAAACATTCTATCCAGCATAAAAATAGACGAAAAAGTAAAGATAATCATAATTATGATAACGATAATTGCAATGATATAATAATTTCTAATCCCAATGATGATATTCCTCTTTCGAATTATTCACAACAGAATCTTATCAATTTGAAAACTAATGAAATTAATGGTAGTAGTAATAATAATGATAATATTAGCAATCATTCAAGTGTTAAAAGTATTTCGTCTGTATCTTCTACAAGCAGCATAACGAACGCTGTTCAAGATTCCTGTAGTCATAATAATAGCAGTAATAAGTATGATAATGGTAATGAATATATGGAACGTAATTGGCAAGTTGCTGGACGTAAAGAAATGTTACATATTTTATTAGGTCTATCGCATACATCATCATCGTCGTCGTCGAGTAGTGGTGCAGATTTATCTGTAGATTCTAGATATTTACTTGGCAAAAAAGAGGCTGAAAGTTTACGTACTGCTATTGAACTATTGCATCATCATAATTTTAATATAGAGGTGAGTATGCAGATTTCCAGAATTATACCTGTAATAAAACAAATAGATTTCCAGTTCTTAATTCAATATGATTTATGTTTTAAAAGTAACAAATTCAATCTATTCATTTTTTTCACCCAGTCTTTTTAGCTATTTTATTTTTTTCTTGTCTAAATTATTCAAAAGTCAAATGTTAATATGTACATATTCAAAATACTGTTTACCTAGAAATTGTTACTGTAAATTATCATTAATTCATTTCAAAACCCAAATGGTGAAGTTATTGGATTAGAGGTAGCTGACTAACTGATTGATAGTTAACTAATTTTAAATGTGAATTTCTCCTCCATCATTAACTTCTGCATAATTTCAGAGATTTTAATTGTTATGAAGGGGAGTAGAAGCTATATAGGATAAATAAAAATCTACAAATCACAAACAATACACTAGGAAGGTGTTTTTGCACAATCAAAATCCAAATGAAGTTTTAATGCCAAAAAACAGTGAGCTTATGTAACACATTGATATTGTAAGTGGCAACTTAAATTTACAGAGTGTTTGTTTGAGTAACGAAATACAATATATATACGTTTGAACTAAGCTATAATCTACAGAAAGGTTAACATTTTGGACTCAGAGTTTTATGGTATGACCTGTGTAAACTTAGAGGTTAAATTAAAGGAAGAATCAATCTTTTCCCAAAGATCTTAATCAACTGAACTTCTGAACTCTATCATCCAATTTACTTTCTCTCTCTTATGCCTGTGAAATGTATATGCGATGTTGTGAAGTGACACAAGACTAAATAATTGTAGAATGACTGTTTTATTTATGTTAGTCTTGTTGTATAGTCAAATGCGAAAACGTGCCTATATAAAGCGAAGATTAATAGAAAGTCTCAATACAACAGTCGGTGAATGTCACAACATTTCTTGTCCAGCTTCAGTAGAAAAGTAATTGATAAAGGGTATTGTATCTAGTAAGTAAATGAAATAATGGTATATCTGTCTATTCTATTTATTGAAATTACTACAATCTCCACGAAACCCCTACTGATACTAATTGACATATGTTCAAAAGTGACGGTCTTCAAGAGATATATCCTGGAGTTCTAGTGAGAAGCAGTGACCAGTGGAGTTCAACCGGGTCATTTGTGAGGTAGTAACTCACTGATGACAATGGTGGATGTGTCACTCAATTTTGTGGATTGGTTGAAGTTAGACATTAACACTGTTGGATGCCGGCCAGCTCAGTGGTCTAGTGGTTAAGTGCTCGCGCGCAAAACTAGTAGGTGCTGGGTTCGAATCTCGCAGGGGGCGAGGTCGTGGATGCGAACTGCTGAGGAGTCTCACAATAAGACGAAACGGCCGTCCAGTGCTTCCAGGTTTTCCATGGTGGTCTAGCTTCAATTGACTCATGATCTCAACTGTTGAAATTAGTACAATCTCCACAAAACCCCTACTGATATTCTTTTTATAACGATAAAGTTAGATGTGAGTCATAATAAGTTGTGTGACATGTTCTTAAGTAAGCAAAACTTAGCCAATCGGAAGTATTTAAGGAATCTGAACGTTGTGATAACAAAACCAAATCTAAATCAATTACATTGACTAAATCTTTCAAAAGAAAAACATAAAGAAACTGAATTAAATTAAACACGATACAAGATAACTCATATCCAAAATCAATATTTAGTAGACTATTCCTTATAATTCCATTGAGAACATACGCTTTTGATTGGCTATTTAATATATAGAAATAATTCGTTTTTAGTAGTGAATGTCAATTAAAATCGATAATAATCCATGTTCTTTTTTAATATAAAACTTATGAATAATATCATCAGCATCAATCTATAAATGCAATGTCTTAGAAAGAATAATTTTATTTCCTGTTTCATAATCTATGGCATGGAAACAACATAAATATGTTTTCTAATTAAAATGACAGTAGAAAACAAATTAGATAGTTACCAATATGTTATATTGATTTGAAGACTGTATAAAAGAAAATAGTAAATCACAGAGTAATGAATACAAATTTTAAACTGAAAAGATAAAATTAAAAAAATAATAAAAGAAAGTATATCAGTAGTAATATTCCGTTTATTTCGATATTATCATAAAAAGATAATGTGTTTGAAATTTATCAGCAATGCAGGTACTAATTTGTCTTGCTTGTATAGAGATTATTTTTAATTTAAATTTAATTATCTAGTGATAATATACTTATATCCACTTTAGTTTGAACATTTGTAAAATTTTCGGGAAAGTCAACTATCTAGCTTTGAAGTATAACAATAAATGGTTTGAATATTGTTTACTGATGAAATCACCATTTTCATCGAAACGCCTATATTTGTGTATTTTACGTTATGATAACTTAATAATTAAATGGCTTGTTAAGTGAGACTTTAAAGTTTAGGTTCCAAACGACTTAGATAAGTGCCACTAAAAAGCCCGAAACTAAAATGAAACAGGTACCCAGTACTCTCCAGATTTGACTGATTTTCCACCAGACTTCAGCTTATGATTAGGCCTACCTTCGAAAAGCTTTTTTTGTTAACTGGAGGTTGACGCGACGAAAACTTATGATTTATGTTATTCGCTAATCGTAGCCTGTTGTTTGTACCATGTTTCCGAAAAAATTTCCGAAACTAGTAAAACAGTGATGTGAAGCGAAATTCATATTTAATCAAAGCTTGCACATCATGTTTGTTATAATTTTACTATAAATTGCTTATCTTCACTCTAATTATATCCTTTACCGATGAGTCTACTAATTATCATAATACTAATGCCCGTAATGCAGCCAAGATATATACCAATATTGATTATTGAGTGTGAATTCCCTTGTTTTTAACCAGTTCAGTTCAAACACAAGAATGGTTCGCCGATTTGTTTTGTATTATTATGGCTCGAAAACTTAAATTATTGTATTCGTCGAACATAAGATCGTAACACATCACAAACAAATCTCAATCCATGCAAAACTACGATATATATTATACGAAATCAAACATGTACAAAATTAATTAGCTAGAATTTATGAACGGTAAAAGATATATCAACAATAGTTAGCGAGGAAAATGAAAGCTTGTGTAAAAGAATCGTAAACCAGTTATTTAATACATAGATAATAAAAATATGTGTAGTGACATATCAGTGAATAGATCCATCTTTTTCATTTATTGGCATATTTTCAACAATATATTAAAAAGACTATTCTTTTTTGCTTCATTAATTATTCAGTTGATAGAACAAATTCGTGCTAAATCTGATCTTTCCGAATTAGATCTTTTGTATTGGACGAATGATCATATTGTTAAGTGGTTATCCGATTTAGGTTTAAGTGTAAGTTTTATTATCTTTTAATTAATACTTTTTAAAGTGTACCAAATTGTCGGTGTGGTTGAATCTCATTATGAGGACTACACTGAGGGCTGTTTCAGTGATTTTTTTAAAAGTTATATTCTTTAATATTATCTGTTACTGACAAATAGGGTAATCACATCCAACTTATTTTTTATTTTAGGGAAAAAATATTATGCAGACGGTTTTGAACAATAATGCTTTTGATACTTAACATATATAAATTAAAAAGAGGAATAAAACGTTCTGAAGAAAAATGGGACATTTTTTACCAAACATTAAAATTTCACTTTGTCATACAGATTACCATGGATAACTGCATGGTTACCAACAATTACCCATAAAGTTACCATTTATGACCTGCTTCAAACAACTGTTACTTGAATAATTTGGTCACGTTTTGAGATTAAATAGGTCACTAATAATTATGTTTTCTTTTCAATTAATTCAAAGAATTTCCTCCCGAGATTGACAAAAACTCAATAATTTGTTATAGCGCACGTGATCTTGTTATTTACAATCAAATCCTAAACCTAACTGAACAGTTTATAGCATCAGACTTTGCCTAATTTCGAATACAGACCTTACAAAATTGATCACTAATAATCAATCTCTAATTACCAATCAATAACCTACTTAGCACTTCATTAAATGCAGATTTTATTCAGATTTTTGTCAGTGTAAAACATAACTTTTGAAAAAGACATATGTATTTTTACTTTTCTGACGGTACCAATTTTAGGGTATATCTTTTTGGAATGCAGCTCTCTAACAAAGTCTGGAGAACTGTCTTGTGTTAAGCTTGCGACTCATATAAGATTCGTATAACTGACCATGTAAACTTCTTGAAGTTAGTTTTCATCAGGTACTAGGCTGACTCTGTTCTGTTTCTTCACTTTTGACATAGACATCCAGCTGACAAGCCCCGAATTGGATAAAATGCGCCTTATTTATTCTAATGTTAGCTGCATCTCAAATGTACCGAAAACACCGGTGACTAAAAGGTAATATCCAAAATGTCCTCTTAGGGTGCACACGTACCAATAAAGACTGCATAATTTCACTTACAAGCCTTGGAAAAATGTAAACAATAATGTGTTGGTTGCTTGAATCTTTCCATTGATGTTTAGGACTGCAACTGACCAGTGTTTTATATACATCTTGTGCGGATTACCTCTATATTGCCTTAATTCACAAGCATTATAAGCTGAGATGATGAACCCAAATATGATGAAACTCTCGTCCTGGATATCATTGTTAACTATCGTCATCTCAGCTTGTAAACTACAATGTTTGGTATTATTTTGTGTTAAAATTAATATCATATATTAAGCAGAACTTTAAAAATCCATGATCAATGATTTTATTAATACGTCGCAGTTAGGCATGATTAGGACATATTACTTTAAGGTATAAATTTATATCAAGAAATTATACATTACGCTTTTAACGTTAAATAATAAGAAAGGCGAAATAATAAATTGTTTAAAGTTACTTTTAACTAAATTATTAATGAGATTAACTTCATAAGTTTTCTTGTTGGTATTTTGGTTAACATCAGGAATTTTTGTTCGGATTTCCGAGGAAAAAATTACATCCACATAATTGTAATATAATACTGTCAAAAAAAATTAATAAAATATACAATTTATTAACAATAATCATTTTAACGTGAAAATAATTATAATTAAATTGTAGATAGTTTAAAAACACTTCAGCTAAGGTGAAATAGTTTGAATTAAGTTATTTTGATGGAGTTTTGTTCTCTGAGCTGGATGGTTTGATCGTGGAGCTTTCATCGTTCTTCTGGATGACATCATCAGCACAAACTTTAGATAGAAGTGAAGCGTTCGAACTCTCAGAGGACAAAACTCCATCAAAATCATCCACATGAACTACAAATCTCCACCATCTCCAATTTAGGTATGTTTGATTTTCAGTTATTAAGTTTTCTGAAGACTGAATAAATAAGTCCACATTGAGGTAGAGGATTTTTTAATGATTGCTTGAATATAGTCTGTACGTACAGTTTGATTATGCTTATTGAGTGTGTCACTTTGCCGTAAAATTCATTATAATTTTTTGCCTTTCTTTAGAACAGAGTATATAAACGTGAACTTAATAAGTAAATAAACAGCATAGTGTTTACATTATTTGTAATGAAATATTCATAAGCCAATTAATTATTTACATTATTATTATTATTATTATTATTATTATTATTATTATTATTATTTATATCACTTTCTAAATAGGATTTTGTGCACGGAATTGATGCAAGTGGTTTACATGGTGCATATATGGTACTTGATTCAACGTTCGATTTTAATACATTGATTAAACGTTTGCATATACCATTGAATGTTGCAGTTTTGTGTAAATTAGAGGAGAATTTCCAACGAATATTGAAGCCAGCTAGGTAAAGTATCAATAATATATTATTATTAATTTATGCATTTGTTTAAAGGGAAAATCCAATTTTATTTATTCGTAATCTACTTTCATAGTTATAGGTCGATAAATATTTTTCTTTTTTTAACAATAGACTATTCATTTCATATATGTTCACACTGTCATCAGCACGAGTTGCATTACTGTCTGGTTGTATAAAAATTCGGTGAAATGTTAGTTTATAAAGTCAATCATGTTTTTTTGTAAAACAACATTCATGAATTTGAAATCTTAAAATACCATCAAGGAATTATTGTCTATTCTGTTTAAAGCTAAATCACACACTACATTGCATTCTTTTTAATGGGGTTTTATCAAGTAAATTTGTTTAAATAAAATATTTGTTTTTAAAACTGTGCTTACAAACAGACCAGTGTTTATTTCAACGATACTAGAGAGTTTATCACATGAGAATAAAAAATAGATAATTCAGAGATGAAATATATGTCAACCATTATATTTACGATTAAAGGTATTGGATGTTAGTTAAAAGTGGAGTTTTTGACAAATATTTCACTCCATTTATGACTCGCCACCTGTAAGTTTCGGCTTCCCACTTTTAGTGTTCCTGTTGCGGCTCGGACGTATCACTCATTATTGTTATTCATCGGGTCACTTTTTATTTAAATCTTGTTACTTACACTTGATGACTTCTTTTACAAAACCGTGTCGATCCGCTTTGATTGGGGTGTAACCTTTTTTACAATTATTTTAACAATAATAGTTATTACTTGATACTCTGTATAGCCTTATCAAGGCTGTATTTAGTGATACCTGTAAATAGAATTAAGATCCAGTATGGTAGTACAAATTTAAACAGAATTCTGAAAATCAATCTATAACAGGAAGTCAAAAACTGTTTAAAATTTCGGAATTTACTATTTTTAAGGTGACAAAATTTGACAGTGATAAAATCCTCACATTATTCTAGATAAAAAATGAGGTATATTTGACCTATATGTATATATATATATATATAATATTCATAGACAACCAACGAGCCGCTTATAATTTGCCATAAACTTAGTATTATAAATCACAATGGCTGATATCAATTTTATACTCGAGTTGGAATGCTGTGCTTTTATTGATATCTAAGGAAATGTTCTTTATTGAGTAACTATTATAAGATAATGACATGTAATTGCTGAATTATAAAAATAGAACTTTGTTTTTTTAATGTGCTACGTGATATCTACAAAATTGTGGTTTATCGATTTTTTTTACTCGAGCAATGCTTCACGACACTTAACTATTTCTGTATATAGTATCACAGTTCGTAATTCATCTTTAACGAAAATTCATATGAAAAAATATGATTCCATTTCCTGTGGGACTGTAATGATGTTTTTACACTGTTTAGTCGATTAATATCAACTTACCTATTTCATTTTGTTCAATAATAACTATTAAGAACGTCAGAAAGTTGTGGCAATAAATTAAATGAACTAGCGTTTTAGTATGTTTACTTAAATGTTTATTTAGGTGCTGCTATTTTTTATATTGACTTATGTTTTGAACTTATCATATCAGAAGTATTTTTAGTTAAAATAGTGTGATCTTAATGCTTTTTCATCAGGTGGTTTTGCAGGGATCAACATAGGTAAAGATAACCGACTGTATGTAAATCCAAAAGTAAAAATATATGAGAACCATACACTGAATGCTTCATTTTTGGATTTCTATCACATGTCAGTCACTTTCTGTATTTTATTTCAGTTCATGATTCCTTCCCATTTTTCCTTCTGTTCTATTGAGCTCGATCTTGTTAGCCTTCTGCTGACAGGTTTTTCGCTTCCTAATTATGTCGACAGACATAAGTAGCGTATATCACAGTTCTATATTAATGTGTCCACATATATAATGTTGAAAAAGGTTACTGTAAAGTTAACGAACGATTCCAACTATTCAAAAACGAAGAATATTTGAGCGAACAATTGTTTTCAATAACTTCATCATCAGGCTCTACAGTTATAAGTCCATAATTATAATATTTTACAAAAGCCAAAAATGAGGCATGTATTAATGCATTTGACAATGTTATGTGTTAAAAATGGTGAACGTTTGCATCCTGGCCTACGACTGGATCACCAAATACCTAGACTGAATATTCTAAACCTCTTACCCCTTCCTTCATTTTCATTTTTATTTATTTTCCTTATTATCATTATTTGTCATTATCTATATCTTAGTCTTCATATCCATCATTCCCAATTTGTTGACCGTAATTACCTTGATAACACCACCCTTATTACATATTATATTCATACAACAATATTATTATCAGAAGGAGTTTGTGGAGATTTTTAGAAATTTTCACAGATTGAAATCATGAGTCAGTTGAAGCTAGACCACCATTGAAAACCTGTAAGCACTGGACGGCCGTTTCGTCCTAGTATGGGACTCCTCAGCAGTGCGCATCCACGATCCCGCACCACGCGGGGCTCGAACCCACGACCTACTGGCTTCGCGCGCGAGCACTTAACCATTAGACCACTGAGCCGGGATCCAACGGTGTTAATGTCTAACTTCAACCAATCCACGAAGTTGCGCCACCATATACCATTGTCTTCAGTGAGCTGATATCTCACAACAGACCTGGTTGAACTCCACTGGTAACGGCTTCTCACTAGAACTCCAGGAGTATCCCTTGAAGTCAGTCACTAGTGAGCAGATGATTATTATCAGAAGGGGTTTGTGGAAATTTTTAGAAATTTTCACAGATTGAAATCAGTTGACAAAATTATTTTCAATTTTGCAATAGTACTATTATCTTATTGTGACTGAACAATTTACTGACCTTTATTGAATGACCTTTCTAATTTGTAAATATTACAATTTTTTGAGGTATATATATATATATATATATCGTAACAGATGCAAACGTTCACCATTTTTAACACATAACATTGTCAAATGCATTAATACATGCCTCATTTTTGGCTTTTGTAAAATATTATAATTATGGACTTATAACTGTAGAGCCTGATGATGAAGTTATTGAAAACAATTGTTCGCTCAAATATTCTTCGTTTTTGAATATTCTATGGGGTTTTTTAAACTGCTGAAATCTAGTGATTCCAATTATACAAAAACTTAAGTCTACGTTCTACTAAAGAGCTTTAAAAGTCCAGAAGCTCAATAAGTTTACAATACATTTTTTATATCATATAACATGATTAAAAATAAATATGTATAAAAGTTTGACGTATCAAAATTTGTTTGCACAATAAAGCATATTTACTGGTGCTCTGAGATGAGCTACGTAAACTTCAAGTAAAAAGCTGTGACTAATTGAGTCAATCAAGTTAGGAGTGAAATACTTACAGATGATTTATTCAGAATTTTAAATGTAGACTACTGGATTCGACTTTGTTTTCTAAGCGTATCATGTTCGTTTCGAGGTGTGTAGGTTCTGGAAACTATCCTATGGAGAGTCATGAGAGTACACTTTTGAAGATTTCCGAACAAAAAGAAGTAGCAAATTGTTACCTTTTTCGTTAGTTTTTAACAGATTTCAATTTACGATGAAAATAATCTTCGAACTTTTGCATCCTCTCCACAAAACACAGATGGTATATTTGTATATTTAGTCGAAAGAGGACATTAGTAAGTATTATCTCTTCCTTTCTCCATAACTATTTCATAAACTGAATAATTATATGCAGATAAATCTTACGGTTTACATATTCTCTTCATAATGGGTTTCACGCCATTTTGTTTTGTGCTAAATTGTTTTTAGAAATGTTTGTTAACAAATCAAAATGAGTGATTTATTTTCATGTTACAAGTCAATTTACTTGTCTACATGCAATATTCACTTATTAACAAAGATTGTTAAATGCATGTGATTATGTAGACCCAAAACTTTAATGCCATTTTAAACATTTTAGTCTATAGCTAGATATCTGACAGTTCAAAATACTAAACTTTTCAAATTTTTTCCGAATGTCATTTACTGATAACTTAATCTAAAAACAGAATAAAAATTGCATATTTCATTTTATACACTGCATATTTTATAATACGTTAATCAGTTCAATTAACTTCTATTCAGTAGAAAAGCCATGTTAAATCATGAACTGATGAATTCTTATCTACTGAAATTAAATATTGTGGCTCATAATCTAATGTACCAACTAGACAGACACATCAACAAAAAGCCTGGAATTTATGTGCGTTGACTGTAGTTGGCATACCTGACAAGATAAAGTAACAAAATTGATCGAAATTATGTAGTAGTGATGATAAAACGAAGGACTATGCCTTGAGGATATCGTTTAAAAAGATAGAGTGTAAAGGTATGTATGGAGAAATGCTGGAACTAAAGCGCGAGAGAAAGAAGAAATGTGAGTGGATCCGTGTCACTTTGAATGATTCTGAGCCAGTTCACCCAACGTCTCCAACCATTGACTCCAGTTATGACATGGACCCTAAAAGAGCAGTCTGCATCTACCGAAATGGCTTAAACCAACAATCAGCGGCTTCATTGGCTGATGAGACGTTTTGCTAAGGCCCCCCTAGCTTTCTCTTAATATATTTCTACATTGGCAAGCCTCACTGATTGAGATAGGTAGTGGTTAGGCGTTCGTAACACATATCTTAGTCACCTCGACCGATGAATACTTATTACTTGATCAACCGACTTGGCCCATTGGTCACGTACTGTATGCTTAACTTAAATAATACTCACTTGGTCGTTTCACAGAACACGAGCAATGCTTGGAAGATACCCCTGATCAAATACCTTGAGCCTACGTATATTTTCTATTTCGTAGGCTGTCTCACAGCCATAAATTAGGACAGAGAGAACTGATGTGAAGCATACATGACCTCTGGTTACAGTGTGAAGATCTCGCCTATGCCACAAGTGACGCAAGTTGGCAAATGCCAACCAGGCTTTCTGTATTCGTGCCAATATTTCGTCAGATATCACCCCACAAGAACTTTCATTATGCGAAGTAAATG